CAAATAATTGTTTCAAGTTTTTACATAAAGCAACGATAAAATATCTCAATTTAAATAAAGCATTTACGTCTTCTGCTCTTAATACTTTGTTAACAAAATTAAATGGAAATAAATTTCTTGTATACCACTGAACGGCTTGCCGGTCATTCATAAGGAACATGTAGAGAAAAATCGCGACTGCTAATGTCCGCATCTATTCAGATTTAGACAGGTTGTCTGTGAGACTGAGGAACCTTGTTACAATCTTTTCTCACCTGTCCACCAGGATGTGTTATATTGCTTTGTTGAAAGTATTTCTGTTTCACTCCGGCTCATTTTACCAACTTTGTCAGCGATCTCGTACCAGCAAATATGTCTTTTAAAAATCGTATTTGTTTGGAAAGAAATTTGTAACATTAAGACTTTTTCAAAAAAAACAAAAACGGTTTTTGTGCTTCTGTTTGAAATTTTCGATATGCAACAAGCGGCTTGACCGAAAAATGTTTGTTTTCCCTAAAGAAACACAAAGCTGTCAAACTTTTTGAGTAAATGGGGCGTGGGACAAAAGTGTTTTTATCCCTCGTCCTGTCGCGTCCAGTCAAAACAATTTGTTTCACCCCGTCCAGTGAGGAGCTCTGACAGACATCGTTTATAGCTAATCGACTGACATGATGATGTGTATGATCTTTCAAATTCATCTATAGCTCCGAGCACCACTTCTTCTTTTTGGTAATATTTACGACAATAATCAATCATTTCTTTCTTTGCTTCATCCGTCTCTGTATTCATATTCAATAATGTATTTCGAAGAATTTGATACCATTGATAATCAGCTGATTCATGTTCTAAATCACGAATCGATTTATTATGTTCGTCAAATAAAGAAAATATTGATGAATGTCTTAATATCGAACGTATTTGTCTTTCTAGCATATCATTAATTGTTCATAAGTTGTATAGATACCGCATAGTTTTGGATATATCTCTTCATTTAATACATTTTGATAACCTTCCTTATCAAGACAGAATATATAGAATGAAACTATTTTATGATTGTTATGAAATAATGATAATGTTTGTCTGGAATATTTACCAGATACAATTACAATAATTTTATAATTTTCGAAGTTTTCTATTGCTTCTTGTAGTTTTTCAAATGTCAAACAGAGTAACACTGCATCATTTAATTTCTCAAGTACTTGTTTAATTTCTTGATCAATCGTATCATCAAACCAAATAATTATTAAGCCTTCAGCCTCGCTTCCATTTTCGTTGAGTATTAGAACAGTTTTTGTTTTTTCGATATCTCATTTCTCTATGATACGTTGATATGTACTCATCATCACGCTATACTGATTGATTATACTTGTAATTCATACATAAAAAATGTTGATAATATCCAACTACTTCAATGTATCCACATAGCCTGACTTTTTCCTCTCTTGTTTTGACAATTCTGTTATTTCGTTCCTAATTTTTCGACCGACTTTGTTAAGAGAAAAACATGAGTAAACAGAACAGCAGTTGAAAGTGAAAGTTTTTTATTATTGTGATTATGTGTACACACTACACTTTCTTCCATGTCATAACTGTAAAAGGCAGAACGAGTTTTTATGACAAAGTAAGTGTTTACATTTATGAACTGCAGCTATTTCTAAAACGTCTGTATTGTTCCTGAATGAATGTGGTCGGTGCAATATTGAATTCGATGTTATCAATGCTAAGTTTTTCCTACTTTAAATGCTCGCGGTACTTGTCCAGTTTCACTGTAAAAAAAATCACGCTAGAATCGTTGCGTACGGCCAAATTTTCGCCTGGGCGCCTACTGTGCGCTGTGTGTGACATACTGACGATGATAGCGTGTTGATTCTCCGTCTCCATCTATAACAGGACTGGAAGTTTGATTGTCGTTTGATTCTCAAGCAAAAATAAGGGTATTGCAGGTTATTATTCCTAGTAGTTTGGAAAAATAATGCACCAGTTCATTATTCAAGTGTCTGTCTGCGTGTAAGTCAGTCATACACTGTTCAAATGTCGGTGTGTAGCTACGCCTGGCCCCACAGTGGCGAAGGGTCTGCGTGTATGTATGCCCGTCACACTAATATCTGTATATACAATGATCTGTAGCAATCTTTATTTTTTCTAAAAACTTTTTCGATGCTGGAGAAAAAAGGGTTTTCGAAAACGTTCACTATTTTTGCAAAAAATAAGAGCTGTGAATCGTAAGAAGAGCTGCAAACAGATAATCGATAATCCTAGGCGGATGGTTGTAAAATGATAATAAATCGTCTGTATCGACGTTATACGATTGCATGTGGTTGTTTGTACAAAGTGTCTACAAACATTAAACTTTTCTGGCTTATATAGTCTTTTTTAAACTGATGATATGTAGTAGTTTTCTATTGAGTGGTCTCCTTCAAAGACAGAAAAGCTTTATAGTTAGAGCCCTATGGGATCATCCCAATCCCGCGGGATCGGGATCGGGGTCG